GTTTGTTTGTTTGTTTGAAAGCGCTAATCTCCGAAACTACTGGTTCGAATTGAATAATTCTTTTTGTGTTGGATAGTCCAGTTATCGAGGAAGGCTGTGGGCTATATAACATCACGCTACGACCAATAGAAGCATAGATATAGTGGTAAATGTGTAAAAAACGGGAGAAATTATTTCATCATTGAAGCCTTCCGTTGCGTGCGCCGTGAAAACGGTTCAAGATACACAAAAAATATGTATTAAAGAATAATAGCTCTTTTAATGATCTAAAAAACAGTCCGCGACAGTATCTTTTAAGATTAACTCACAAAAACCGTTTTTATGGTACCTAATTTGGTCGAAATAATTTGTTTAAGTTGTATCAACATAATAATATTAATCTTTATTCATATAAACAAATAAATATGTTGTTGGTTAAGAGTACTTCATTATTAATAAAAAAAACCATAGATTTTATCCTGAAAACTCTACGAGAACTCGACCATTCCGAAAACCCCGCAAGAACGGGAACTATATGGGGAGAACCAAAAATCTGTCGGAAGTAACTATTCCACACGGACGAAGCCGCGGCAAAAGCTAGTATATGTATATAAAATGAGATGTAAGATATTCGCGAGTTTTATTCATTTAAAGAAAACTAATATTTGTTGGATATACTACGCAATTTATTTTTGTAAAATACTACATATTCCCGAAGTTTCGGCTACTTTTTAGCAATCGTGATCACGGACAGACGATATATATATATATATATATATATATATATATATATATATATATATATATATATATATATATATATATATATATATATATATATATATATATTACCTACAAACATTGTTCTATTACAATACTTGTAAGTTTTTCTAAATAACATGACTGTTTTAATTTTGTTGGTAAAACATTAAGTTTCTAATATGTCCTATGTTAACAAATCGGATATCCTATCGTTGTTACGATGTCAGCATGAAATAGTACAGGATAATGATGTTTCCTATACACTAGTAAATATGAAAAGTTAAGTAATTTGTAGAAAATCATATAAAAAATGTAATTTATCAATTTTTTTATATTAAGTGCAATTCTTATAGTCTGAACCTTATGGCTTAGTTGTTAAAGAAAATGTAACGCGATGGTTGAAAGCATACTAGTTTGAATCCTGCTCGTGGCAATCAATTTTTTTTCTATATTTCTTATTTATTTTTCAATTTTAGTACTAACTCGAAAAGTTAAAAGAATTATTGTATTTTGTATAAAGTTTAATATATTGCTGAAAACTTAATTTTATTAAGAATCTATAAAAGAGCTGGAAATAAATTCATTTCCTATGAGAACTCCTAATGTTTATTTTGAACCGACTTCGTTTCTGTTCATTACTATTTGTTCTCACAGTGGTAATAAAAGTATAAATTATAAGCAGTTAAATTTTTAACCGTCTCATTATATCATCTACCTGGCATTTTCCCAGCTTTAGCCAGGGTCTGCCTTACATGTTGTGAATAGTTTTGGCTAATTGTTTTTACGACCGGCCGCCTGCCTGACATCAACTCTCTTTGGGAAAACCGTTTAACCGTCTCATTATATGTTGATTATAAACGAATAGCCTTAGATAATTTTACATTTTATCCTTTTAACTTAAAAGTAAGATATATAAAAAAGTACATTTCCCTATTAATATTATAAATGCGAAAGTAACTGTCTGTCTGTTACGCTATCACGTCTAAACCACTGAACTGATTTTAATTAAATTTGGTATAGACATAGAGTTGACCTTGACAAAGAACATAGGATAGTTTTTATGCCAGACTTTTGAAAGGTTCTCTTGGAAACGCGATATAACCGAACTCCACGCGGGCGGAAAGCTAGTATGTATATAAATTAACACTAAAATATTTTCCCATTCTATAATGATTCATCGATATTTGGTAGGTTTTTTACTGTTTTTTTTATACATATATATAATAATGATATACACAAGATAATATTATTAGTCACTAGTACTGTCCGATGCGTGGTAATTTTTTATTCTCACGGGAATCCCAGTTTGTATTACCATACAAAAATGTATTGAGTACACTTTGGTTGTAGGCTTATAGAGAAATTTATAGTTAAAATAATATATTAGTGATAATAATAGCTTTGAAGAATGCAATCAGTTTAATTCACAGTTATACATAGTAAAAAGGTACGACAGAGCAACGCACAATACTAATATGGACAGTGAGTGTGAGCATCACTTCGTAATGCATATCTTGTCGAAAATTTTATTTAGATTACGAAAAATTGCCAATAAATAAAAATAATAAATATACTTTTCATAAACAAATCAAAATTATCTTTCATCTATAAACATTATTATCGAAGAACAGATAATTCTATAATAGATTACATATCTTAAGACCAAAAAGAATTTATTTATATCAGCATTTACTCAAAAATAGCAAGAAAAATATTTCATTTAATAGAATACGTTTAAGAAACGAGTGTAGTTTATGAAAAAAGTTTCTGTGTGAAGACTCATGTGATACGTTTAATGAGTCAACTGTATTTTTTCCTTAAAAATTTAAAGAAATACAATATTACATACATGTACATATTATCATATACTAGTTTTTGCCCGCGATTTCGTCTTCGTTGGTTTCAGAAGTAGAAATGTATAGCTAACCAAGCGAACTATATTTCTCTAAAAAGAGAGTAGATAAGATGTTGAATTTGATCAACTTATTTTTTCTTTTTCAATCGGATGAAATGTATCCTATGTCCTTTCTATGTTCTAATCTACCTCTCATCCAATTTTCATCCAAACCCGTACAGCCGTTTTTGAGTTATAAACACGACTTTCTTTTATATATACAAGATATGTTAAAACATATAATAAGCTCCTTATCCCAAACTTAATAATGACCAAGACATATGTTGATTACACAATATTGGTGATAATAATCGTTATCAGTGCCAGATTTTGATAAAGGGAAGGTCTTTGTTCGGTCAACCTTATTGAGATCAATAACACTGTCCAACACATATTTTGTCCCTGAATATGAAAAAAATACTAAAAAAATTCTAACAGCTTTAGTTTTTGAAATATATATATTTTTTATTTTGACCAAAAATTCAGAAAATTAATACAAAATGTTTTATGAAATACAATGAAATGTTCTTTTATAGGAATTTCTTGACTGAACGACTTCAGATAGATTTTGTTGCAAACTCCAGCAGTAGTTTGCCATCATATGTGAGTCCCACCGCCCCTGATAACGCTCTTCTAATGTTCTGGACCCTGGAGGAATCTTTCACCCTGTTCTTTACTGTAATCATCCAGATTTTTTGGAAATCGGTCTAAATGCGAGCACAGGAAGTGGATTTTTATGCTAATGTTGCACCCTAGTTGTTTCAAATTCGATAGCATGGCCTCAACAAGCTCCACGAAGTCATCAGATTTATTTTTGCCTAAGAAATTACTAATAACCAAAAAAATGAATTCTAAGGTTTCGATTCCACTTTAGTCATTGATTTGACAAAATGAGAATCTTTCACGAGTTGCCTGATCTGTTTTTGAGGTTCTTGGCTAGATTTGTAGACTGAATAAGAATCTTCCCTTGATGAAATTCGTTAGGATTCACAGGGATTCGGGTAATCAGAAGATTTAGATTTGCCAGGTTGTACCTCTCATAATTTTAATTGGGGTCGTTGGGCAGAAGATAAGTTAGGATGTGGCCACTTATTTCGATTGCCAGGATTAATTCCTTTTACTTTCACAACGCAAAAGTAGCAGTCGTCATGATCATTTTAAGGTTCTCGCACCTGACCACCTGTGTTTCAAATATTACTGCATCTCTGTTTCCATTGGACCTCAAAAGTAGCCATACAACACATTTTTGACATACAATATGCGGAATCCACGGCTTATTCTGATTAAACAATTTTATTTTAAAGTATTGTTGATACACATTTTTCACAAGTTCGACATAGGTTTTCGATACTTTGCAAATACATATTCACTACAAATATAGCAAAAAGAGTCGGGATTAAGCACACAACATCTTCTTGACGAAGCCATATCGAAAACAGCAACAAAATGTGTTGCAGTGTCGAATAAAATATGCATATGTAGATGAAAGTAGTATATGAGGGTAGTTAGCTGTAACTCAAAAACAAAAGCTGTTACAGGAAAACTGTTTCGAAATTTAAAAAATATACGTCAATTTAAGATAGAAACAAGAAAAACATTAAAGGAAACAAACAACTTTTATTTTTTTGTTGAACAGTGTAATTATAGGTCAATATTCGTTAATAATCTTGTGACTCAGAATAAAATCTCTGAGAATTACTTTGATATAGAATATAAGAAATATTAAATAAATGGGTATATTTGAATTACTGAAATGGATTTGTATTAATAGTAGTATTGTCCTTAAATAGACTCATAAAGCATTTTTATTCCAATGCTTAGTTTTTTGATGTCGTTTGATATTGAAAATATTTACTATTTACTTTATACTATTTCTTAACAACGTCGTATGTATATATTTTCTTATATTAAAATTTTGTTGGTATTCTCATATAATTATTTTTTTAATTGTAGCAGAAACATTTTAATTGTAGAAAAGAAACAGTTTAATGGAGTAGCCATTACACTGTTTCTTTTCTAGTTTCTTCTATCAAATCATTTCTTGTATAAATCTCTTTTAAGACATAAGTTATCCTAATGAAATCTAAGATTTTCGTTGGTCTTATCCATTTAAATGTAACTAATATGTTTCGGATATACTACGCGACTTTATTTTTGATAAAAAACTACATACTCCTGACGTTTCGGCCACTTTTCAGCAACCGTGATCATTAAGACGAGATGGTCTCGAAACGTCATAATATATAGTTTTTTATCAAAAATTAAGTCTCGTAATAAAAAAAAATGAGTTTCATTTAAATGAATCAGTTATACTTCATCCATCACATTTCTTTCATAATATAACCATTTCTTCATTTATTACCAGGTAAAGAGGTCCAAAAGAGATGGCGCTCTATCAGGGATTCATACACGAAGGCTTTCAGGCAGGGCAAGTGTCCACCTCCCGAACAATGTGGGCCCGGGAGTAGGAGATATCAATATCATAGGCAGATGTCCTTCCTATTGAAGGCTCTACAGAACAAGTAAGTACACATCCCTACTAATATTCTTCCTCTACCTGGCAATTTCCCAGCTTTAGCCAGGGTCTGCCTTATATGTTGTGAATAGTTTTGGCTATTTGTTTTTACGACCGACCGCCTGCCTGACATCAACCCTCTTTTGGGAATCGGCATTAATCAGTGATGTCTAAATAATCTTAGACTCGGAAAAATCACATTGGTACTTGCCCGGGCCAGGATCGAACCCGCGCCCTGGTGGATGAGAGGCGGGCCTTGTAACCACTAGGCCACCATTGACTTGTTCCCGTCCCTACTAATATTATAAATGCGAAAGTAACTCTGTCTGTCTGCCTGTTATGCTTTCACGCCTAAACCACTGAACTGATTTTAATTTAATTTGGTACAGACATAGAGTTGACCTTGAGAAAGAACATAGGATAGTTTTTATCCCAGACTTTTGAAAGGTTCTCTTGGAAACGCGATATAACTGAACTCCACGCGGGCGAAGCTGCGGCCGTAAAGATAGTAATTCATAAACAGCAAATATCGTCGGGGATAGTGCAAATACACGTAACTAGCATTGGATAATTCCGAGTATCTATATTGGAAGCAAATCAGAAGAAAGTTAAAGCTGAAATATATTATATATTAATGAGTTCTATTGTAATTTTTTCACAATTACCAATAAATTGAACAATAAATAATTACTAATTGTGAAAAAAAAAATCTTTAAAAGTCGTTAATATAGAAAATGTTTCAGCTAAAACTTTATTTTGATAATTGCTTCCAATGAAGATTCGTGGAATTATCCAAAGCTAGTTACGCGGATTTACACTATCCCCAACTATATGTAATATTAAAATTGTTCCAAAATGTTGGTGTCTATACACGATTGTAATGAATAATGCACAAAATATAATAAATAACATATAATATTATATATAAAAATTGCTCAAAATATCTGTTCCCCTAAGTCATGATAAATAATGCACAAATAATGCCGATTTTATTTAAATAAATTCAATATAAAGATAATTAAAACATTTATTTAACATTCCTGAATTATATTATATCCATTTTATTGAAATTTAAATAATATATAAAAAAAATAGTTTTGTAGTTTTCGCGTGATCGAGCAACAGACACAAAATTACAATATCAACGGATAGAAAGTAAACATATCTATTTATAAGTTACCATTAAACCACTCTCTTGATCATACACAATACAAGAAAACAAAATAATATGAGCATTCCATTTCCATCCATATAAATATACAGGGTGACTGGTGAATTACTATCAATATTTAAGGAGCATACTCGGTACATGATTCTCATTCGAATTATGTAAAAAAAATAGGTACTTAATTTTTGACAAAATTTCTGTATAAATAAATAAAGTGTTGACACGTTCCAAGTGTTCCAAGTGTGGACGCGTGCGGCGCCGTGCTGATACAAAATCACGCCGCCGCACGCGTGTGTGTGTGTGTATACCTAATCTGTAGGGTGTTCACACGATGCGTAATTAATTACATAACTTTTGGTTAACTTTACTTAGAAGTTTATTAATATTTATGTTATATTAATTTTTATTTTGTCAGATATGATCGTCAAATATCACGTCCTCAAGTATCGATAGTAATTCACCAGTCACCCTGTATATGTATGTAAAATAAATATTAAATACATTCAATACAATAAAGCTCATATAAACGATTTAATTTGCAATAATTGAAGTTTGAAATATACACAACAAAGGAATTTATTCAACAAAAGTATGAAGCGAAAATATTTAGCGAATGAGGTTTTTTTGCAACGAACGTAGAAGCAATTTTCTATTACATACGTTTCTTTTTTTCTATTTTAAGTTTGAACTCTTAAAATAATACTTTGGTTTCTAATAATAGTTTTTTTTATCATAGAAATTTTTAACAAAATATGTGGGTATTGGTTAAAACATTTTTGTCTATTAGATTTTTTTATTATAAGATTAAATAAAGTATGGCTCTATAATAATTTGATTAAAAAATCTTTTGAAATAGAAATAAATCTTCAGCGAAATCTATCGTCTATTTCACGCGACTACATACACTACAACCTTATCATGTATTCCCGCGGGAAATACACAGAATTATGCCGTAGATTATAAAATATAAAATACTACTAGCTGCGCCCCGCGGTGCTACCCGCGGATTTCCGGAATGTAAAGTAGCCTATGTGTTATTCCTGGACGTCAGCTTCCTGTATACAAAATTTTCAAAATCGGTTCAGCCGTTTGACCGTCAAGAAGTAACAAACATACACACACTCACACTTTCGCAATTATAATATTAGTAGGATTATGGTCTATAAAATGGGCTGAAGTAGCAGGCAATAGCTAGTTAATATAAAAAATATCAATATTTAAAATAATCGAATTATTAATTTAACCTGATTCTTAATACAAGATTTAATTATATTCACGAATATTAATATTTTTTCCTATACAAAGTAAACTTATTGTTATTTGACTATATTCTTACGGCTAAACTATTTTGATAATACTTTCACTGAACGGATTAGAAGTTTATAGGAAAAGTTAATAAAATCATCAACGGATAAGTCACTGTACGTGTATATTATCTCTTACCAATGAATTGCTGAGCTGGTCATGATGACGTTTTTTAAAAGATAATCAGAAACTTCGAGAAATATATAACAGTCTTTGTATGCAAACAGTCTGAAATAAAAGCTGGTAGATATAATAAAATGTATAAAAACCTTGAGGATACGAATGTAAGACAAATTTTTAATGTTAAATGTAATAACATATTGAATTACATTCAAAATGTTTTTGTAAATAAATCCAACAAGGATTGCTGAGTGTGTAGTAACTGTACACAATGTATTATTATGAATTATGAATCATACAAGCTAACTTATGCACGCGGGTTTGCTCGTATTAAATAAATTTATAATGTCTTCTCATAATTCAGAAACTTTATAAAGGTTTTTATGTTACAAAATATATGTTTATACATATATTATAAAAATTATAAGTAAACTATAATATATTTCAAAGCTTTCCGTCCGCAGCTTCGCCCGCGTGGAGTTCGGTTATATCGCGCTTCCAAGAGAACCTTTCATAAGTCTGGGATAAAAACTATCCTATGTTCTTTCTCAAGGTCAACTCTATGTCTGTATCAAATTTCATTAAAATCAGTTCAGTGTTTAGGTGTGAAAGCGTAACAGACATACAGACAGAGTTACTTTCGCATTTATAATATTACTAGGTATTAGTTTGTAAACGAAACACCGTAAATACTAACTTTCTAAACATATATATGTATATAGTTGTAATTTATAAACGATAACTTAATAGGTAATGCGATCACAGACCCCGAGGTCATATCTTTACTACTACAATGTATTCTACCTTACTATAAGTCTTCATCATCACTACATACTTTGAGTTTCCTACTTTAAAATCCTCTCAAGATATGGTATGAACAAGGTTTATGTCTACTAATATTATAAATGCGAAAGTAACTCTGTCTGTCTGTTACGCCTTCACGTCTAAACCACGGAAGTGATTTTAATGAAATTTGGTACAGACATAGAGTTGACCTTGAGAAAGAACATAGGATAGTTTTTATCCCAGACTTTTGAAAGGTTCTCTTGAAAACGCGATATAACCGAACTCCACGCGGGCGAAGCTGCTGGCGGAAAGCTAGTTAATTATAAATCCATGATAAGCTTTCTGTACGTTCACGATCTAACGTAGTGAAATTTTAAATAAAGATATACATATATACGTGAAAATTAATATTTCAGAAAACCACGTTACTCTCAAGACAAATACGAATCATTCTCCGAAGTATCAAACTCGCCACAGCATCCGGCTCCCGAAGATGTGCCGCGGGTCAAGAACGAGATCACTGACAAGCCTCTGGACCTCAAAACGAAACCGGAAACAGCTGAGCGACCGGAAACACAAGACAAATACAGCCAGGCATCCATAGACAAGAAGTTAGATATAGCAGACGCTACAAACATACTACCAAACGATCATTTCGACGATGATAAACTATTCATGAATTCATTACTACCGTTATTCAAGAAAATGACAGATGATACGCGACTCTTGTGTAGAATAGAAGTGTTGAAGATCATAAGGTACGCGCTGCAAGGAAACCAAGCATTTGATACGCCTAAAATGAACGAAGATAACTTCAAGCAAGTTAATGTAGTTGAGAATAAGGCGGAAAACACACTGTCTATGACTACACGATCGGCTGACGGGAGCAGACCTATCAGAAAACGAAGGGTAGGTTACATTATAATATATGTATATTATTATATAGAATCTACATATGTTAATATTATGATAATTATAATACAAATTAAACATATACGATGATATTTAGATGAAACTACATACTGCCTGTGATCATGGTTGCTGAAAAGTAACCGAAATGTTGGGAGTGTGTAGTTTATCACAAAAATAAAGCAAGTGTTAGTATATCTGAAAAATATTAGTTTAAATTAAATGAAAATCTTATATAGTATGATGTTTTTATTTACACTAGATGGTATATAAGGTGGTATTATATTGCATTAATAAAGTATATAAACATTATGTACATATATATAAAATTATTGATATTACATATTTGAAGTTTGAAATAATAAATATGATTAATATCAGACAGTATTCGATATTATGTAGAATTATTTATGAAATATTATAATTGATACTATTTAGAATATGTTAGAATTAGGTATAAGTATGACAAAAAGTATAATAATATTTATTTTATGTTCAAGGCTCGATCTCCATCACCACTTCCTGTACCACCAAAACGAAGAGGACCAGGTCGGCCCAGGAAGGTACAAATATTTAATATATAATTTAATTGTAGTATTCAATAAAACTATATTAAATTTGTCATGTATGTGTGTCTAAGTATCAACACTGAATGACAGTAACTAATATAATAAAGTGATCTACATACATTATACTTGACATCATATTATTATAACAATAACGAGCATGTAATGTATATATATATCAATGTTTCCAGATCCGTCCACCTCCCTCTGATTCAGATGAAGATGTTCCTCATAAAAGATTTCCCAAACTGAAGACATCTGTTGATTCTCACGATGAGGATTATAATAAAGCAACCAGCGTAGCTCAGTTGTCCACACCAATGTTCATGAAGGTAGAGCTCTCATACATACAAACTAGCTGCGCCCCGCGGTGTTACCCGATTTCCGGGATGTAAAACAGCCTATGTGTTATTCATCTACGTCAGCTTCCTGTATACAAAATTGTATCAAAATCGCTTCAGCCGTTTGAGCGTGAAGAAGTAACAAACATACACACACTCACAAACTTTCGCAATTATAATATTAGTAGGATTACATAACATGTTGAACTATCCATTAAAACTATATTAAATTCATATATACAAGCTTTTGCCGCGACTTTGTCCGCGTTAGTTTCATAATTAGAAGTGAGTAATGAGATCTAGGGTTTTCGCGAGTTTTATTCATTTAAATGAAACTAATATTAATTTTTGTGTATACTACGCGGTTTATTTTAGTGTAAAAACGTTTCGGGTAGTTTTCTGCAACCGTGATCATTAATACGAGATGTGAATTCTCAAAGTCGCGTAGTATATCCGAAAAATATTAGTTCCATTTAAATAGAAGTGTTTAGGGGATATCACACAAGTATAACGAATATAAACAATGCATGTTAATTTCAATGAGCAAATGTAATATTATTTAATGTATTGTGATCTTTGAACGTCTTAGGAAATATTATAAAAAGAAATAAATTATCATGACTTAGTGATTTACTTGATGAGAAATTTTAAATTTAATACATTTATATTTTCTTTGTTAAGATAGATACAAGTCGTATTTCATATCCCTACTAATAATTTATAAATGCGAAAGTAACTCTGTCTGTCTGTTACGCTTTCACGCCTAAACCACTGAACTGATTTTAATGAAATTTGGTACAGACATAGAGTTGAACTTGAGAAAGAACATAGGATAGTTTTTATCCCAGACTTTTGAAAGGTTCTCTTGGAAACGCGATATAACCGAACACCACGCGGGCGAAAGCTCGTAATAAATAAATTCTCATGTATAGACAATGTATAAATAAAAACCTAATTTCTTTAATAAATATTTTGTTTTCAGATGTACAATTTGGAAAGATCAAAAGTAGCTCCAATAACACCTCCACAATCTATGCTCGTCTCTGTAAAGACAGAACCCCTCGATACACAGTCAGTCAATCCAATATAGATTATGTAATATAATAGATATATAATAAGTACATTATATATTATATCAAGTCAGTGGTGGCCTAATGGTTAAAAGCCCCGCCTATCATGCACGAGGGCGCGGGTTCGATCCTGGCAAGTACCAATGTGATTTTTCAGTCATATGTACTTTCTAAGAGTATTAAGACACCACTGATTAATGCATTCCCAAAGAGGATTGATGTCAGGCAAGCGGCCGATCGTAAAAACAATTTGCCAGAACTATTCAGAACATGTGAGGCAGACCCTGGCTAAAGCTGGGAAATTGCCAGGTAGAAGATATCTATAGACAATGAATGTTTATTTTAAAATGTAAATCTTATCAAATTCAGTATAATGTATGTGGTTGAAATTTAATGTAATATTTTTCTTAGTTTTTTTAATATATATATAATATGTTTGTATGTCTGTAAGATTGAAATGTGATATTAATTAGATGTTAGTTATTAATTTACTTCTGTTTTGTTAACTAATATGTTAATTTCTAAGTTATGTTTAAGTTGAAGCATTTTTTATTTAGTATAGTTATTTTAATTATTGTTTTATATATTGTAAATAAACATTAATTTACAATAATAATGAATTAAATGAATGTCTGCTTTCTTTATTTTTCTGTTCCTTTAATAGTTTAAAACAGAAATAACATAACAAATTTATGTATTTAGAAATATTTTTAGGAGATACATTTTTTAAATGCCTATTGAGTTTTGTTGTAAATAAGTGTATGAGCTTAAATGTATTATATTATACAATAATATATTATGTATATACATTCCATATATGTAGGACAATTCATTTGTCGTACTTTAAATAAATATATTAAATTTATTGACGTATTTTATTTCATAAGAGTTATTAATAAACTTGGTTTTTTAAATATGATTTCAATGTTTGTACCGTCAGAATTCAAACATCATTGAATCTATAAAAAATATGTCTTTTTCATAAATCATGCAATTTATTACGCTAATAGAGAATTAAATTTATTTTAATTATATACTGAATAAAGCATATCTAAAAGCATAATTATATGATTATGCCAGTAATAAATTTTCTTAAGACTTAATAAAATAAATCATTAGTATTTTTTAAATAAGTAAATCCACAACATTCTCCCTTCAAGGTAAGTTATGTAACTATCATGTCGACGAAACATGTTCTAGTCCTATTTCTTACGATTTTAACTTAATTTGAATGCAATATATCCTCTGACGGTTTATTGAACTTGGCGCCACTGAATTTAACAATCAATCCTTCCCTCTGTGGTGAACAACACATCGGTCCCACCAAATATTTATCGTACTCAAAAGGACACAGTCTGAGTAGACGCCATTTTATGTTGTCAGCGGAATATTTCACGCATAACACGTTTTTAACTTTAGTCAGACGTAACCAGAACTTGCGGGGATCTTCTGTGAATACACCTGGAGAGAAAATTTAAGATAATAAGATTTATAAATCTTATATTTAAATTCAATTGTTTTAATTTTCTAAACTGTCAGTATTTTGATTTCCCGCTAAAAGTATTGTAATTTTTTTTAAATTAAACAAAATTAATGGCTTACATACTAAACATTAGATACAGTTTTATATAAAAGAAGACTTAACAGATTAAGAGTTTGAATAGTATTATTGATAGTAAATAATTCAATTATATTTTAATTTGGAAAAAAGCCAATGTCATAAAATAATCAAAAATGTTCAAATATGATTTAGTTATATATATATATCTGTTTCTATAAAAATAATTACCAGTAGACCAATCAGAGATATCTCTAGTGAGTACACTGCCTATCATGGGCTGGCCATCATTGTACTCAATGCCTGCTTTAAGCCAATGTTTTTCATCAACATATATCATCAGCCCAGCTTGATCATACAGAGTCGTAAAATCAGCTTCTACACATATCTAAAACACATACAGCCTTTTTATACTTTAACTAGCTTTTCAGCCGCAGCTTCGCCCGCGTGGAGTTCGGTTATATCGCGTTTCCAAGAGAACCTTTCAAAAGTCTTTTATAAAAACTATCCTATGTTCTTTCTCAACGTCAACTCCATCTCTGTACCAAATTTCATTAAAATCAGTTCAGTGGTTTAGGCTTGAAAGCGTAACAGACAGACAGAGAGTTACTTTCGCATTTATAATATTAGTAGGTAGGGATTTTATACCTAACTCCAAGAATAAAACTTATTGTTCAAGGACGGATATAAGACTATTGTTTTACCTATTGATACTTATTTCAAAATCGTTTGATACCTTTATATAAAATAAAAATAAATATATTTAATATTACTTACTTCCAAACTAAAATCACCTTTAATTTCGGCGCCAAAAATATGGCCAGTATTAACGCGAAAGTTGTACCACGTCTCTTGCCAAAAATCAGTTTTATTTTCAGTCGTCACTGTAAGAACATCACCATCTAATTTATAGCTGGCTGGTCTATTTAACCATTTAAAATCTTTATTAAATGATATTTCGTTAAAATTGATTGATTCCATTTCTATATTCTTACAATTAATAATAGAAATTGACGTATCATGCAATTCAATAGAGATAAGAAGTCATTAGACATGTAGGTATCATATTCCTTTTCTTTTCTATCGCTTATCGAAACCTAGGCATTCATTATATCTCAACTTGTTTACTTCTAGGACGTAATTTATTTATAGACTATTATGTTAGGCTGAAACTATATATTAAAAAATATAATAATCTATGAGAGAAGGTTTTTCTTAAAGTAAATAAATATATTTTATTTAATCGTTTTAAAGTTCTTTGCAAAATTAGGAATTTTTTATACGAAAACATATTATGTTATTAATTTATAAAACTATATGTTATTAATACATAAAATTATATTTTAAATATGGTATCACCGGTTTTTTTCCTAACTTAATTTATGGTCACACCGACCTCAGTTCGAAGCTCACTCCAAAATGGCATCATTTCCTGCGGCGGCAACACGGTGCGGGCGTTCGCTCCGACCGTTACTGATAATACATAACATTATTTTTGTATTTAGATAGAAAACAAATTTATATTTTGTATTTGGTGTTATAAGAAGCACATTTTATAAAATGGGTAAACCAGGTAAGTTATATATTTTATATTTGTTATATTATTTTGATAACCCCCACGCGTTGTTTGTACCGCGTGGTCTTTATTTTGTTCATGATTTGTCTTTACATTGATATATATAAAATATATCATGTATAAACTACAATGTAATACGTATTTATGTAGTGATTTCATTAATTTCGGTCAAATTTCTTCATTCCGGCATATGCTACAACTTTGAGGTTATATCATGCTTTACAATTTTTATTTTATTAAAAATCCCTATAAACTCTTAAGGCTAATATATTATTGTATAGATATATGCTTTAATAGTATTTGTCGTATTTTAAACATGGTTTTGTTTACCCACGTGGTGTTAAACTCAACTGAAATTCCATGTAATAAACTAACCTTATACAAAGAAGTGTTTGATTGTTCATAACTAACTAGTTTTCACTAGTATAACTTCATATACTACAAATATAGTAGTTTTATAGTATAATATATTAATGTTTACGTTATATTATGATATTTTTAGATTTTAAAAGCCCACGTGGTGGAGGTGGCAGAGGTGGTGGACCTCGTGGTGGTCGGGGCGGAGGCCGAGGGGGCTTCGGAGGAAGAGGAGGCGGCGGCGGAGGAGGAGGAGGAGGAGGGAGGTTTGAGAAGAGAGGAGGAGGAGGGAGAGGCTTTGGAGGAAGGGGAGGAGGTAGGATATAATATAACTAAATGTAATGTTCAATAAATCAGTGTTTCTCAATCTTTTTGATATCCCTACTAATATTATAAATGCGAAAGTAACTCTGTCTGTCTGTCTGTCTGTCTGTCTGCTACGCTTTCACGCCTAAACCACTGAACTGATTTTAATGAAATTCGGTACAGAGATAGAGTTGACCTTGAGAAAGAACATAGGATAGTTTTTATCCCAGACTTTTGAAAGGTTCTCTTGAAAACGCGATATAACCGAACTCCACGCGGCGAAGCTGCGGGCGGAAAGCTAGTATACATATACTTGTGCCTAGACAGGCAAGGAAATTATTAAATTAAAACTCAGAGTTACAAGACATTCTCTACAATCGTGGACGGTGGACGTAAAACAAAAAATAGGAATAAACTTCAATTACAAGTTGATTTGAAAGCTAATGTATCAAAAATAATACCACGATTTGATATCCTTTTGAAATTCATAGTTGTATGAAAAATAACACCACGATTTGATATGCTTTTGAAAAATATACAACTCCATCCTTCTCATTACGATTGTGGTTTTATTGTAGTGTAGAACTTCACTTTTTTCGAACTCTTCAAGTAAGGATTGAAAAACACTGATTTAAATATTATACTAATAGCTAAAATTGCTATATATAAAATACCTAAATGATGATAGAATGGTCCCTCTAATCTAGACCTATTCATGAAGACTACGATACCACATACCCACTTCTGATCAAAATTAATCAATAATTTAACAAAAATATCATTTGTTTGTGTTAATAAAGTATTATTCTAGGTCGAGGTCGGGGCGGAGGCCGAGGGGGCGGCGGCGGGGGCTTCAAGGGCGGCAAACAAGTTATTATTGAACCACACAGGTAATATATAGTCGGGGATAGTGAAAATCCAAGTAACTAGCATTGGATAATTAAATGTATCTACATTGGGAGCAGATTATCAGAAGAAAGTAGATGAAATATTTTATATATTAATGACTTTTAAGGTAATTTTTGCACAATCAGTAATATATCAAACACTAAATAATTACTGATTGTGAAAAATTATCTTAAAAGTCATTAATATATAAAATATTTCAGCTCAAACTTTTGATAATCTGCTTCCAATGTAGATACACAGATTTATCCAATATTTTCACCATTCTAAATGATGTTAATCACATAACTTTCGTTCTTCTGAATGCGAACGCTTGAAGCCAAATTATGTTACTGATATCAACAGTCATTAAAAAACTACTCAAATACTTGAAATTATATTAAAAAGTTAATATATTTGCAGACATCCAGGAGTATTTATTGCAAGAGGTAAAGAAGATGCTCTCGTTACAAAGAATCTTGTGCCAGGATCCGAAGTTTATGGAGAAAAGAGGATTTCTGTTGAAGTATGTATTATATATTATGTTTATAGAGTTTATTTACTGTTTATATATAGATGGCTCCTATGTATAAGGACCAATATGCAAAATGACAATTTTTCAGTAGAGGTGTTTTAAGTTTGATTTCAATGTATCTTGTCCATACAACTGATGCTTTTGAAACTTTGCATAGCAACTATGATATACATGTACGTCATTTAAGATTGATACACTTTTTTGTAAACCTATTAGTTTTTTTAAATAATGTGCATAAGCCTTACTTTCTATAAACCAAATTAATTTTTATATGTTAAAAAGTTACTTATGCTTTTTGTGCAATAAAAACTAAGTCTTTGTACCAAGAAATGCACGTTTTTGTAAATGAATGTTGTAGAATACAGTATTATGAAGGTTTTAAAGCAAAATAATAAAATTTCTTAAATTACTACATTGGTTATACATAGGAGCCATTAATATAAATTACATGATGATAGAATGGTCCCTCTAATCTAGACCTATTCATGAAGACTACGATACCACATACCCACTTCTGATCTAACCCATAATAAAAAATAATTTAATATATCTAGAATAGGTCTAATATTAATATTAATTACAGAACGAAGGAGAAAAAGTTGAATACAGAGTGTGGAATCCATTCCGTTCTAAGTTAGCAGCAGCGATCATGGGTGGTGTCGATGCTATTCACATGCCGCCCGGCTCGAGAGTGTTGTACTTGGGAGCGGCCAGCGGGACTACTGTCAGTCATGTGTCGGATGTTGTGGGACCTGTGAGTATATACATATACATACACATTACAAATATACCTATATATAAGTATATTAGGATAATTAGGAAATTATATATCAGTTTCAATATATTATTCAATGTATCCATATTGCATAACATGCCTAAGTATATTAGGTTAAGACTTTATGCTACAGTATATAAAATCATTCATGATTTTGATATTTTAAATCAATATTTTTTATATACATACATATATTTTTCAATTAGATTCTAAATGAAACACTATCAAAACTTTCTAATCATACATATAATATACATACACATATAAACACATTTGGACAAATATACATACATGGACACTTTCATAACATTAAGATTGATTTTTCTTTATATTTATATATAATATTAATATTTTTTATCAACAGGAAGGTCTAGTGTATGCAGTAGAATTCTCACACAGATCAGGGAGAGATTTAATAAACGTAGCTAAGAAGAGGACCAATATTATACCCATCATAGAAGATGCTAGACATCCACTGAAATACAGGTAAATACATTAATATACATATAGATATCTGATGTATAGTGGGTTAAATATCTTAGGATTGATCTCGAGATATTTAAATTTTCATCTAGTCTGATATTAAAACCTAATTATAGTTGCTATATACAAAATGATGAACCAGTTCATCTAAATATTTCATGTTGAAACTTTGAACTCTCTCTCTGATTCATAAACATTATAATATATATATTTATTATAATATATTATATATATTAATACTATTTTTTTTTTCTCAGAATGTTAGTAGGTATGGTCGACACAATATTCGCGGACGTCGCACAGCCAGACCAAGCCAGAATAGTTAGTTTAAACGCACAACACTTCCTCAAGAATGGAGGACATTTTGTTATATCTATAAAGGTAATACAAATATATATTATACTAGCTTCCCGCCCGCAGCTTCGCCCGCATACATTTCGGTTATATCGCGTTTCCAAGAGAACCTTTCAAAAGTCTGGGATAAAAACTATCCATGATCTTTCTTAAGGTCAACTCTATCTCTGTACCAAATTTCATTAAATCAGTTCAGTGGTTTAGGCGTGAAAACATAACAGACACAGAATTACTCTCGCATTTATAATATAAGTAGTGATAGTATATTAACATATAACTCCTATGATGATTCAAATAAAACTAAATATTTCATGTTGAAATAAAATTGAACTCTCTCTCTGAGGTTACAACATATACATAATATTTAATAATTTAATATATTTTTATTAATCATTAACATTATTCCAGGCTTCATGTATTGATTCAACGGCTCAACCCGAGGCAGTGTTTGCAGCCGAGGTTAAGAAATTACAAGCGGACAAACTGAAGCCCCAAGAACAATTGACGTTGGAGCCCTACGAAAGGGACCATGCAGTTGTTGTAGGAGTGTTTAGGCCGCCCAAGAAATAATATGGCAATATAGCACACATATATACTGTGACTTGTAATGATTGTTAATGATCAGTGGAGAAATGTTGAATGAAAGTGAGGACGTACAAGGTGATGTATGTATAGTATTAAGTTTAATAATAAAGATATTTCAATAAGACATGGGACTATTATTATTATGTATGTATGTGGACCTCATATGTATTGATAAATGTACAAAAATTAATACAATACACAAGATAACTATGAACTAATGTAAAACAAGTAATATTTAGTGATGTTATTCTTATTTTTGTCTTAGAATTTGTTGTACATTTAAGTAAAGTTTTTTATAATTTAAATTACGAAACAACTGACTTTAAAGGAAGTTATTAAAATAATACATAAGACTTGGTAAATCACTTGTTTGTTTAGAATGTTCACAAAATAATAATTAAATCCAAAAATGCTTTTTATATTTTCATCACTTCACACCTCGCCCACCGTTTTAACATCATATTGTTATTATTGTTACAACTATTAAGAGGTATCAATATAACAATTAAATCAATATACCAACAACACTAGTAGAATATTGTTCTTGGTGAAATACTATAACCGATACAAAAACGGGAGACATTATTTCCCTTTTAACTATCCTTAAATTCGCCTGCCCTTGTTGCATATCTGCAACGAACCGAAAATTCTAATAATGGTTCATTTACAAAAATTTAAACTTCATAATTTTTTACTTCGTTTTTTATGCAAATTTCGAAGGTAAGTGTTGTTTGTTTTTTTATATTTCACTAATATAACTAATTAAAAAGACCAGAAAATAATAATTTTCCATATACAGTAGGACCCCGATTATCCGGACCTCGGTTATCCGAATTCGCGATTATCCGGACTGCCAATCGAAGCGAGTTTATTCTAACACAAGAAGACCTGGCGAACTTCGTATCGCCCTATAATAATCAAGAAATATCTATTACGTTTTTTTATTTATATTTTTGGAGTTTACCTGTAAGCCATAAATCTCCGTGTTTTGAAGTGCGACAGAATGATTGACATATTAGTTAGTTGTCAAATCTAATGTAAAAAAAAAACGTTTGTATGGGAAATAGAAAAGGGCTGTTTTTATGGTTTTCCCAGTAATGAATAAATTTTTTTCAGCTTTTATACCTTCCCTGAACCTCTACAAACATTTCAAGACTAAGATAAGATAAATCCGTTCAGCTGTTCTCGAGTTTTAGCGAGACTAAGGAACAGCAATCCATTTTTATATATGTACTAGAAGACCTGGCGAACTTCGTATCGCCCTATAATCAAGAAATATCTATTACGTTTTTTTATTTATTTTTTGGAGTTTACCTGTAAGCTATAAATCTCCGTGTTTTGAAGTGCGACAGAATGATTGACATATTAGTTAGTTGTCAAATCTAATGTCAAAAAAAACGTTTGTATGGGAAATAGAAAAGGGCTGGTTTTATGGTTTGCTCAGTAATGAATCAATTTTTTTCAGCTTTTATACCTTCCCTGAACCTCCACGAACATTTCAAGACTAAGATAATATAAATCCGTTCAGCTGTTCTCGAGTTTTAGCGAGACTAAGGAACAGCAATCCATTTTTATATATATAGAAGATAGAAGATTAACATGTCAGAACTTGCATAACGCCACGCCACTCGTGCCGTCCGTGATTTTCGTAGATTCTCGCTCATATGTTTTGTTGTTTTAAATAAACACCTAACATTACATATGTATGGTACAGACTACATATGTACACTAGCTTTTGCCGCGACTTCGTCCGCGTGGAATAGTGACTCCCGGCAGATTTTTGGTTCTTCCACAGTTCCCGTTCTTGCGGGGTTTTCGGAATGGTCGAGTTCCCGTAGAATTTTCAGGATAAAACCTATATTTTTTTTATTCACAATGAAGTGCTCTTAACCAACAACATATTTATTTGTTTATTTGAATAAAGATTACTATTATTATGTTGATACAACTTAAACAAATTATTTGGACCAAATTAGGTACCATAAAAAATGTGTTTGTGAGTTAATCTTAAAAGATAGACATATACTGTCGCGGACTGTTTTTTGGATTATTAAAAGAACTATTATTCTTTAAAACATATTTTTTGTGTATCTTGAACCGTTTTCACGGCGCACCCAACGGAAGTCTTCAAAGATGAAATAATTTCTCCCGTTTTTTACACATTAACTATATCTTTGCTCCTATTGGTCGTAGCGTGATGTTATATAGCCCACAGCCTTCCTCGATAACTGGACTACCCAACACAAAAAGAATTATTTAATTCTAAGCAGTAGTTTCGGAGATTAGCGCTTTCAAACAAACAAACTCTTCAGCTTTATAATATTAGTATAGATATGCAAACAGCCCATTTTTCTTCATATATAGGATTATCCGGACTTTCAATTATCCGGATGCCTACCGACAACAATTAGTCCGGATAATCGATAAAGTTTGATAAGTTTTTTTTCAAATAAACTGTTTGTGTCGTATGTCCAACATTGCGCATTTACGTTCAAACAAATTTAAACGTTTACTTGATCCTCACTACTGATATATTTAGAAGAATTTACCTAAATTCTGTTTGCCATTTTACAGCATGCCGAGATCGCTGAATAACCGAGACATCGAAGAATATCTACAGACTCTGGATCAGTCCGAGGATGACTTGGAATTCTCAGAAGAAGATGAGCAAGATGAAGAAGTTTACTATGAGAATCATCATCATCAGCCTATCAGAAGCCCACTGCTGAGCAAAGGCCTCTTCTCACATGTAGAAGGTTTGAGCATTAATCACCACGCTTGCTCAAGACGGGTTGGTGATTTCAAACTTATAATTGTGAAACTATAAGTCCAGGTTTCCTCACGATGTTTTCCATCACCGTATGTCAGTGATGTCTAAATACTCTCAGAAAGTACATATGACTCCGAAAAATCACATTGATACTTGTCAGGTTTGACCCCACGCCCTCGGCAACGAGAGGCGGGCCCCTTAACCACTAGGCCACCACTGACTGACTATGAGAATAATTGTCAGTTATTAGCGGATTTAGATTATTGTGATGAAGATATGGAGATTTCCGTTTCCACCACTTATTTTTTGACAATGATAATGAGCCGACTTTACAAAATGAGGAAGAGGTGCAACAGCTTTCTAGCCAACAAAACGAAACTGCTCGTCAACGTATTGGCCGCGTCACCTGGAGAAAAAGAGATCTTATTACCGTTGAAAACATTCAGAATTTTCCCCAAACACAATATCCTGATAGCATATTGGGATTAGAGACGCCATATCAATTTTTTTCTTTCTTTTTACTCAAGAACTAAGAGATAAGGTAGTGTCTTAAAGTAATTTGTATTCAACCAAGGAAAAATCTCTCCAATCCGTTTGTTACACTGCTAATGATCTCAATAAATTCCTTGGTATTCTTATTTATTCATCCATTGCAAAGTTCCCAAACTTTCGCTTGTACTGATCTGATAAATATATTTGGGTAATACCGTTGTGCGTCTAACTCGGTTTGTTCCAAGACGTGTCAACCACACTATTTATTTCGACAACTATTACACTTCTGTGCCATTGATCACTTACCTTGCAAAAGAAGGAATATATTGCTTAGAACTGTACAGGCGAATCGCATACCTGATAACAAGCTTCCGGATAAGAAAACTCTGATGAAAAAAACAGTACCAGAACAGGTTGCCAATGTAGATGGTATAGACATTAGCGCTGTTGTATGGAAAGACAACAAGCCTGTGACTACAATTATGAGGTATGATAAAACGACGAAACAGCGGATTCCAATAGATTGCCCCAATGTGATAAAAGACTTATCGGAAGGTAACACTGTTACTCGCAAAAGTAGAAAGTAGACAAATCGCTTGTTTTTCCATCTTCTGGACGTTACAGTCGTAAATTCTTGGCTATTGTACAAGAAATCTCTGAAACTGAACAAATCTTCCATAAAGCCATTGAATCTGTGCAATTACAGACTTGAGCTGGCCTATACCTTATGCAAAAAAAGGAAATGGTACCAAAAGGGGTCGCCCAGCAGTTCATATTTGGAAGCTGAATTTCAACTAAAAAGAAGCGTGGACCAGCTCAGACTATGCCTCCGACAAGACACAATATATCACTGGCAAAAATGGGGGATCGGGCCAAATGTAAATACCCTAATTGTAAGGGATATACATTCACTTATTGTGAAAAATGTAGAGTAAGCTTATGTTACAACAGAGACAATAATTGTTTTTTTATAAATTTCACTATGAATAAATAAATAAAGAACTTTGAATTTGTATCTATTTGAGTTTGTTATTGATGACCTCTTTCCATACATAGCATAATTCGATGACTGCACACTGTTGCACATATGCAACACACATTTTTTTATAATTTTTGTAGCTTTATATCAATACTATATATTTTTGACCATTTAGCCTTGGCTTTTTAGATCCTAATATGATTAGAATAATTTATTTTTAAACGATTACAAAATTCGCGCATTTAAGTGTTAAAGCGATTTAAAACAGTGTTTGTATACGTGCCATATAAATAAAAACCTCAACCCTAATTTCACTACGATATCACACTACATTTATATCATCTTTGGGCTTCATAAGTCTACGTCGACACTATGAGTGAGGAACACGAACTTGGCGTAAGGATACTGAGACATCGCTCATTAAATTTATTTATTTATGTACCAAAAAGAAAAAATGGATACAATTAAAGTATTATAAAAGAAATGTGATGTACAAAGGATAACTTATAAAAAGACGTTTGTACAAAGACTCCCTGTAAAAAATGGTTCTCTTGTGTTGAAAAGTGAAGACATTTCGATCTCATGGAAGTTTGACATCGTTCTCAAAACAAACTTGACAGACATTTTTATCAAAAGATCTTCATCATAAGTTACTTATGCAGATGCTAGTCACATAATAACTCATAAATGTGGTGATAGGCCGGCTAATAAACATACTGTGCGACTGAAGTAGTTTACATTTTAAACTCAAACACAATTATAGCTATAATTTTTCAGATCTTGTCTTAATATGACTTGGGGTGATCTGTATTTGGTAACGAACTTTGATTAATTTTCACGCCATAGTATGAATAATTATTATAATAGAAGTTTATATGTTACTGTAAAAGCTCGAACTGCAGTAAATCCTAAGATATTCCAGTAAAGCCTAAGATCTACCAATTCCTCATGGTAAATGTGCAAAAAGATTTGCAATTCGAACTTTTACCACCATGCCATTGATGTAAATCCTAAGATTTAACATGTCATAACGTGCAAAATGTAAGACTGAACGTATCTGAAATTGACAGAGCTAAAACTGACCCTAAAAGCATTATTGCAGTTGTGATAGATGTAAAGGACAATGAGTTTTACTGACTAGGTACCAAAATGGGAATACTCAAACAGCTTCACACCAAGAATCAGTTCGCCGCATGCTCTGAAGATTTTATAAAGATAGAAGAGATTGTTACGGTTAAAAAAGTGAGTCTTCGAGAAATTGTCGGAAAACTGTCGTTAACTGGAGGACAAGGATTCAAAAAATGTAATTGTCAAAAAAAATGCTTGACGAAAAAATGCACCTGCAGACCATCAGGATTACTTTGTAATTCTAGATGCCACAACAGCAATTCGTGTTGTAACAAGTGAAATGTTTTTAGGAACCTTACCTATTAATAAATTACATTTCATTGTCCTTTTTTATTTCTAAATCAAATAATAAGAAAAATAATAATTAATTTACACTAGCTTTTACAAGCATTATGTTTGTATTTCGTTGTTAAATTCTAAATAGAGAAGTACTGATTCAGTTAGATAGACATGACAGAGATTGAGATATTCAGATATAAACATTATGTGCTTTTTCAAAATAATATAAATAAGTTGATATTAGTTTGTACTTGTTACTATCATTATGGTATCTTTATAATACAATGTACCTGTTTTGTCTAATAGTTCAAAGTAAATAATTAAGAATGACTCATTGTTTTATTCATAAAACCAACATCTACCAGCTGACATGGTAGAACCTAACATATACTGAGTTCGAATGGTAAAAGCTCGAAAAACTCGTATCTTCAGAAATACATTACATTTACCAACTCATGTCGGTAAGTCCTAAGACTTACACTTAAATCTTAAGATTTACCGTAGTTCGAGCTTTTACAGTAACATATACACTGAATTGTTACTAGTAAACAACTAAAATTAACATTTAAAGAAAAGTTAGTTCGATAACATAATCAGTTGGATAAATATTATGTCCTAAGATTTTATAGGCCAGGTCCCGAAAGTATTGTTATTTGATCTCAATATCTATCTGTCTGTAGCATGATAGCTCTTCTTAAACTTATGGACTGACTTTGACGAAATTTTATTTATTTGACGCCTAGTTTCCCTGTAATGGTTCTCAACTATTCGTTCAATATCAGTTCAGCAGTCTAAAAGTATAAACTAAATTCCAAAATTTACTTCATTTCGGTATAATGATGACCTAATAAACCTACCACACAAGTGCTAATTTAAGTTAAATAAAATGTAATGCGTTGTGGGATTTGAAAATTTTATCATTAATAACCATCGGTAGAGTGAGGTATTACTTTTTGAAAACATTCCTCGTATTGTTATATTATTAAATCAAACATATTCAAAAACACGATACTCAAGTATTTATAGAAAAAAAATCTTCTTCCTGGCAATTTCCCAGCTTTAGCTAGGATCTGACTTACAATTTACATGTTGTGAATAGTTTTGGCTATTGCTTTTACAACCGGCCGCCTGCCTGACATCAACCCTCTTTGGAAATGCAGTAATCAATGATATCTAAATACTCTTAGAGAGTACATATGACTCGGAAAAATCACATTGGTACTTGTCCGGGCCAGGATCGAACCCACGCCCTCATGCATAAGAGGCGGGCCCTTTAACCACTAGACCATCACTGACCCTAAAACATATATATTTATAGAAAACAAAATATGTATGGTAAAATATATTTTATTTTCAAGATTTCAACCGCTGCTATCTATCTCGTCATAATGCTTCTTATATATACACACACACAATGAAAGTCTCATATTAATATATAACATTTTATTGGTCAGTCTGTGTCGCCGTCCTCCCACGACTGGCGGCTGTCTGACTCGTAACCCTCGGGAGGAAGCTCTTCATCTGATGACGAATCTGAAACGAAACGAACGAAACGAACTTTAAACACTCTTCATACTACACAGAATATACAGGGTGACTGGTGAATTACTATCGATATTTGAGGACGTGATATTTGACGATCATATATGACAAAATAAAAATTAATATAACATAAATATTAATAAACTTCTAAGTAAAGTTAACCAAAAGTTATGTAAATAATTACGCATCGAACATGTACACACTTTATTTATTTATACGGAAATTTGGTCAAAAATTAAGTACCAATTTTTTTTACATAATTCGAATGAGAATCATGTACCGAGTATGCTCCTTAAATATTGATAGTAATTCACCAGTCACCCTGTATAACAATATGTAATACATATAATATGTATGATATAAATATATGGAAGTAGTTTTTAAGCAATTTTCAAGGTTATAATATTAACTTAATTCAAATTTTTTATGTCCTTTCGTGCCCTAAGTGAAACTTCGTAATGTTGAAATGAAAATAGGATCGAGCAGAAATTTATTTTTAGTGAACTCATATTGTTTGTTTACACTTGCTCCATCTCTTTGTATTCCCCTTTCAGTAGCGTTGAATATTTAACGCAACCTTAAAGTCACATAAAAAGTTTCAGTTCAAAAATTATGTCTACCTTCATATTGCAGTAGTGTGTGTGAGTCTCCTTCGGGCGCGAGTCGTCTGCACGACGTGAGGTCAAGCCGGCCCTTCAGACTCAGCAGCTGACACAGGTTGGAGCGCCTGAAGACAATATACATATATAGAAAACTATTCATTATATATACAAATCATTCATACACAGAATATACATATATACTGACAGTACATAGTAAATATGTCACCTAATATTTAATGTATAGATTATATAAAAAGTTTTAATATTTTTAAATTGCATTACATTATAAAGTAATATATATTTGCTAGCATAAGTGAAATGTATAATAAAAAATGTTTTATATGCATTTAACAAGATATATATGATAACTTCACTATATACTAATTTTATTGTGATTTCATTCATCTAGATACTGGGATTAAACAAATTATATGGCAAAAGATGGTCTCTGTTCTCATATAAAATACAACATTCAGCTTTATCCTGGGGGAATAACAAGCATGAAGTGATATATTACTATATATATATATGTATATATGTTATTTTGATTTCTAAACAATACCAATCAGAATCTGTTCACTAATACACATATTATCAGAATAAACTGTTTTATAGTACATATTACTAATATTATAAAGCTGAAGAGTTTGTTTGTTTTGTTGAAAGCGCTAATCTCCGAAACTACTAGTTCGAATTGAATAATTATTTTTGTGTTGGATAGTCCAGTTATCGAGGAAGGCTGTGGGCTATATAACATCACGCTACGACCAATAGGAGCAAAGATATAGTGGTAAATGGGTAAAAAACGGGAGAAATTATTTCATCTTTGAAGCCTTCCGTTGCGTGCGCCGTGAAAACGGTTCAATGTACACAAAAAATATATATTAAAGAATAATAGCTCTTTTAATGATCTAAAAAACAGTCCGCGACAGTATATGTCTATCTTTTAAGATTAACTCACAAAAACCGTTTTTATGGTACTTAATTTGGTCGAAATAATTTGTTTAAGTTATATCAACATAATAATATTAATCTTTATTCAAATAAACAAATAAATATGTTGTTGGTTAAGAGTACTTCATTGTGAATAAAAAAAACATAGGTTTTATCCTGAAAATTCTACGGGAACTCGACCATTCCGAAAACCCCGCAAGAACGGGAACTATGTGGGAAGGACCAAAAATCTGGCGGTAGTCACTATTCCACGCGGACGAAGTCGCGGCAAAAGCTAGTTGTATTATAAGTATGTTTGTTCACCGTTGTGTGAATATAGCCAGTAGTCGTGTGAGGTGTTCCGAGTGATGAGGCGAGGTTGCCAGTAGGGAGGCCGAGTGACACTGGAGGACCGAGCACAGCCACGTACACACTGATGAACATCTGGAATACAAACACACACACATATATATATAATTGATTGTAATGTTTACATCTAGTATATTATACATAGATTGTAAATGATAATAGAATATTGTACATAACATTTTATGTTATACATATGTATGTAAAAATATCGTGTCGCGGTGTTAGACAGAGAACTCCTCCGAAACGGCTGGACCGATTTTTATGAAATTTTGTCAGCATATTGAGTAGGTCTGACAGTGGGCGAACATATATTTTTCATAGCCCTAAGTCATATGGGTTATTCACCCTTAATTTTTTTAATTTTATTTTCGGACGAAATTTTTAGTTTTAATTTTTTTATAATGTAGCATTAAAAAATACATACAATCCGAAATTTTTATTTTTTATCGCCAACAACTATTTTTAATATGACAAAACAACGTTTGCCGGGTCAGATAGTATTCTTATACTACAATAGTATAATTCAACTGAATGCATAACTATTGACTGTACATATACCAAAATAACAATTCATAATATTAGTATGTCCCTTTGTTATTATATCTTATAATTGAAATTATGCACCCATATTGATAAAATTTTCACTGTATGATAATCAAAACAATTATTGGTTATTTATTCAATATTATTATAATATACTTACTGGCTTGTTTTCCTAGTAGCCATATCAGTTAGTTGTTCTAATAAAGCTGGTATGTAGTCAACGGGGAGACATGATATTGTATTGTGAGCCACCGCTGGGTCGTTACGTTGAAGAACCGTTAGTATTAAACTGAAATTATATACAAATATATATATATAAAAAAAGTGTAAGTTACACTATTTATAACTCAAGAACGACTGTAGGAATAAGGTTGAAAATTGGTTGAGACATAGATTAGAACAAGGAAAAGGACATAGGATACTTTACATCCGATTGTAAAAAAAAATATATAAGTTGATCAAATACAAAATATTCTTATTTACTGTCTGTAAGGAGAAATAGAGTTCGCCCGGTCCATACATTTCTTATTCTGAAACTAATAAAGACGAAATCGCGGGCAAAAACTAGTGTATGATAATATATACAAGTATTGTATAAAAAACTTGTACATATCTTTTTAAATTTTAAGATACTATGAATATATAGTTGAGTTTATGATAAGTTTTAATTATGTGCAACTGAAATCATAATTTCACTTTATCTACTCAAAATCCTGAATAATGGTCAAATTAACATATATTATTACTAAATATTATTTCTTATTAAATTACTATCAAATTAATAACAAGCAATCATTTATTAAAATTATGAGATCTAAGATTTTGCGATTGTTCATTTGAATGGAACTAACATTTTTCGGATATACTACGCGTGCTTTTACTTTTTCATCACGGGCAGATGATCGACATTTCGTCTTAATGATCACGGTTGTTGAAAAGTAGCCGAAACGTCGGAAATATGTAGTTTTTTACAACAAAATAAAGCACGCGTAGTATATCAGAAAAATATTAGTTTCATTTGAATATATCAAGTTTGTCTCCGGTAGTATCCCTACTAATATTATAATTGCGAAAGTTTGTGAGTGGGTGTGTATGTTTGTTACTTCTTCACGCTCAAACGGCTGAACCAATTTTGATAAAATTTTATATACAGGAAAGCTGACATCCAGGAATAACACATAGGCTACTTTAAATCCGCGGGAAACACCGCGGGGCGCGTCTAGTTATATATAAATCCTCACTTTTTATCTCTGGAGTGTAATCCCTGTATTAAAAGCTTCGTCAAGTTCTGATTAACAGCTGTTTTACTCCGACTTTTCACGTCCAGAGACAGGTTTGATAAACGGGACTCCATAGTTACTTCAACCTGGAAACATAGAATAAAATTATCTAATCTTCTATATATATAAAAATGGATTGCTGTTCCTTGGTCTCGCTAAAACTCGAGAACGGCTGAACCGATTTGGCTAATGTTAGTCTTGAAATACTCCTTGAAGTCCAGGGAAGGTTTAAAAGGTGAGAAAAATTGGAATAATTGCCGGGAAAACCCTAAATACAGCCCTTTTCTATTTCCCATACAAACAATTTTTTGACATTAGACTTGACAACTAACTAATATGTCAATCATTCTGTTCGATTGAAACTGGAGAAATTTAATAAATACCAATACCGGGTTATTGAAGACGGAATAGAGTTCGCCCGGTCAGCTATACCTACATTACTAATGACGAAATTAACGCGGACGAAGTCGCGGGCGAAAACTAGTATATATATATAATTTCCATTGGCAGAGCCTGGCTAAAGCTGGGAAATTGCCAGGAAGAAGAAGAAGATATATAATTTCCACGTCACAATGTTAGTTACCATTCTCCTCCATAATGGCTTTACCGATTTTTATCAAATCTTATTTACGTATTCAGTAGGTCTGAGAATCGGCTACTATCTATTTTTCATACACCTAAGTGGTAAGGGTTGTTCATCCTTAATTTTTTTTTGGGGCGAAATTTTTTGTTTTTTTTTTTTATATCATGTGACATTAAAAAATACATACAACCCTAAATTTTCACTTTTTTATCATCAACACGATTTTGTTAAATGGCAAAACAACGTTTGCCGGTTCAACTTGTATATAAGTATTTAATTTAAGTTTGAATCAATATGTTTTCTGTGAACAGCAAATCTATGATACTACACTACTCTATGATTATATAAGAAAATTAAGGTGAGTATATTTCAGTAATTATTTTAAAAATAATTGAAAACTATTGAAGCAATAGCTTTTAATCTTTCTCTTTTTTCATAATAGTAATGACTTAACAGTGATCTGTATGTAAAAATAAGTTTTTAAGATGTTTGAGTTAAAATAAATACATTTTTGGAAAAGTAATGACTTATGCAGTTGTTTCAATAAATAAGAAACATATTACATATCGTCGGGGATAGTGCAAATCCGCGTATCTAAATTGCTAGCAGATTATCAGAAGAAAGTTTAAGATGAAATATTTTCTATATTATTGACTTTTAATAATTTTTTTTCTTAATTAGTATTTATTTAGTGTATAATTTATTACTAGATACGCGGTATTATCCAATGGTAGTTACGCGGATTTGCACTATACCCTGTCATATATAGTTGTATCATTTATATATCATATATATGTATATATAATTATTTTTAATATACATATATGTATATATATTCTACTAACCTTTCCTCCTACACTGCCTCGTTTCCTACTAACTCCACCCATTGGCTCAACATAAGTTATTTGATCATTTTCTTTTGCCACAACTTCATTTTTATCCTCCTTTGATTTGTCACCTCGTATAAGGACTTGAGTTTTTGTCTTCAAATCTGGTATCTGCAACAAATATATATAATAAATCAAACAGAATATTTAGAACAAAATAATAATTATGATATATAATCTCCAAGTAACATTATGTAAGGCAGACCCTGGCTATAGCTGGGAAATTGCCCGGTAGAAGAAATAGAAGAACAATCAACAAGTAACGTTTTAATTAGCTATGAAACAAGATAGAATCATTTCACTATATATTAACAAGTCGTGGTTGCCTAGTGGTTAAAGGCCCGCCTCTCATGCATGAGGCCGCGGGCTCGAAACGAAAGAGTATTTAGACATCACTGATTAATGCATTCCAAAGAGGGTTGATGTCAGGCAGGTGACCGGTCTTAAAAAAAAATTGCCAAAACTATTTACATGTAAGGCAGACCCTGGCTATAGCTGGTAATTGCCAGGTAGAAGAAGATTTAGTATGTTACTTGTGGTACTTTTATTTCATACTTACAACTTTCTCAAACACTATAGCTGGTCCACTGCAATACCCAATAAGTAAGTCTCCAGTTTTCGGTAGTTGCACACATTGTAAGGGGAGGGGTTGAGCGTCCTCTGTAGTAACTTGGATAGTCACTGACGGCTTGACAGGTTTTGGTGATGCTCTGAAAGAAATATAGGATAGTTGATGAGAAAATTGACGTATTATAAGGAGGCTTTAAATAAATCTACTAAGAGGAACAGTTGATAAATAAATGGCTTAAAGGAATATTATAATTAATTTGCTATTTTTTGACCGCGACTTCGTCCTTGTCGTTTTCTAATTAGAGTGAGAAATGAATGAGAAATTGATAATGTTCATTTAATCCTACTAATATTATAATTGCGATAGTTTGTGTGTGTGTGTGTATGTTTGTTACTTCTTCACGCTCAAACGGTTAAACCGGTTTTAATAAAATTTTGCATACAGGAAGCTGACGTCCAGGAATAAGACATAGACTACTTTACATCCCGGAAATCGGGTAACACCGCGGGGCGCAGCTAGTATATATATATATAACTCACCCATTGAGCAAATGTCCATAATAATGTACAACTCCACTCCTAGTTGCCGCTGCCAAAGACAGTCTTGTAGCCCCGTTCTCAACTTTTAGTTCAACATCGATGATCCTCGGAGCATCTTCAAGAACAAAGTTATATGTAGGCACAGGCACCGTTGATGAAGTCAATGATTTCTTCCTTTGTTTCTTACACGGTGTTGATTCTTCGGAGTTCTCTTGTGGTAAATTTTCTTCGGTGATTGTTACATCCCAGAAAGATAGGAGGCGTTCGGTTCTGGAAATATAAATACACATAAATATTTCCTTTCTGTAAATATATGTACTATCAATAATATTGATTTAGCTTATTGAATGAATATATTTATTATATCATGTTTGCTACTCAGTAGGTATTATTGTAATATAAATTGTGCTCCATACATATATATTTTTGTACAGAAATGCTTTTTCTTATTGAGATAATTAGGTATAAACAATATGAGGCATTTTAAAATATTTTATGACTCCATACTGCGAAAACCTTAGTTTCATTTAAATTAGTACAGTCAAATATTATATATCATTAAAAAGGCTTGATAAATTAGTTGTTATCAAATAATAGGTACAAAACAACAAAAATTACATATTTTTTAAGCAGTTTGTACATTACGATCTCAAAACTACAATTCTACTTATTACTAATACTACAATACTACTTTGTACTACTCACTGAGAGCCTTCAATCAACCAACTACTATTATTAACTGTGGCAATAGTTAATAAAGCCCGCGGAGCAGCGTTGTGGCCCAAACATTTGACGAGGGTGGCTTCGGAATCATTTAATCTCCACAAACGTATCTGCCATGATGAAGATATGAGGAATTTTGCTGCTGTTTTCTGAAAATGTTATATTATAATATATTGAATATGAAAAGTATGAATTATTCAAAGAAAAGATATTGCAACTAGTGTAAGTTCAATTTTTATTGCATATTATTGAAAAATATTGTGAAATATATATATTGATACATTATGCATCATACAAGTAAATATAAAATAATATATATAATTTGTATTTATATTATGATTGTATAGGAATGCTACAAAACTGTTGGATAAATAATTAAACAATTAAAATAATATTACAATATCTTCATTTAATATAAAGTTTTTTAAGTTTTAAGTAATAACTATTGCTATAAGAAATATGTGTAATGTGCTTTCCTGCATATAGAAAAACTTTGTGCATATCAAAATATAGGCAAAGTTGTGTGTATAAGATTGTTTAAAGGACAAAATATATGTTATTGTTATCATGAATAAAAATTTCTTCTAACACCAGTAATATCTTAAGAAAATATATTAGTTGAAAATATACTTAAAAATTTAATATAAGAACTCTTTCAAAGACTAAACTTTGTTTTTGTTGGCAATAAACTCAAAGAATACTCATATTTTTCATTCGACAAGCATTTCTTACAACTATTTTTACTTTAAATCACTTTTTTTCGAAAAAAAGTTACTTTTTATATGAATTTGAAGGCTATAGTGAGACAAAATTCAATGTAATACTATTCTTACGAGTAATATAACGAGTTTTACCTGATTATGTGGTACAATCCTGATAGCACTGATCTTATTCCCCTGTTTGTTCTTACTATATACATGTATATTGTATTTATTTCTAACACAAGAACTCTCCAAGTCCCATTCCCACACATGACTGTCACTCGTGCAACTGAATAGACCGTATTTTCTATGCCAATCCAAGCTTTGTACTCTACTGTGAATAGCATTGCCTTTATCCGTTAAAACTGTCTCTATTTGCGCCTGGCTCACTGAGTATATAAGTATTTTCCCGCTAGCTGTTCCTAAAGCTATACATTGTGTTTCGTTTCCACTGAACGATTTTCTTCTGACGCCTTTTGTGGGACTCTGCAAATAGGTTATGTTTTAGTTAACCTCTCAACGAAATATATAAGTTAATACATGTAAAATTATTGAAATGAAGTGAATTATACTTATTAAAGAATAATATGGAAACTGATAGGTTAAATAATAGATGTATTCAAAGTTTAAAACCACGTGTGATACTTACTGTATTTGAATTGACAGATATCCACTGTAAACACGAGGGAGGTGATGTTAAATGAAGGTCCGGAGTATACTCCTGTTTGAGCACATTAGTTTCTGTGTCCCATATTCTCAATCTACCGTCCTGTGTAATTAGTGAATAATATTTCCCGTCCTCCGAAAAGGCGGCCTCTGCCATTTTTGGAACTTTTTGACACTTAAGACATTAGACAACTACTGGTGTTAAACTGTTGACAAGTTTACATGTAATGTTTAATGTGCGTTACAATAGACGCATTTTGAAGGGTTATTTTAAAATATATAATCAAATTATATATAACATTAAAATAAATTCTTTATATTAAATTTTATAATTGATTATGATGTGATTGATATTTAAAATAAATTATTTCCATTAAAAATAAATTAGTTTTTTAAAAACGTACTTTTGGTATTTTATAAAGTATAATTATATTAATTTCTATTATCTGATAAAAAAGTAACAAAGTTAATTCAAGTATATGTTTTTAATAAGCAACTCAAATTTGACCTACTTATATTGACCAATAAGAAGTTGGAATACAATTTTCCTCTGTTTTTAATTGGTTTTGTGGTGTCAACTCTAGTAGTGTTGCCATTGTCTTACTATGAGGTCTAATAATAAAAATCATACGGTTACGTTCTTGAAACCATAACATTCCTTTTTCGTTCCGTAAACCTTCGCATTCGTTGTAGTTCCGTCGTGTGTAATCTCGACGAATGTAGTTGTAAACTTAGAACATATTTTTTTATAAGTGCTCTCGTTCCACTTTTCGTTAATACTTATTATTTTCTCATATCTATTCATCTTTGCTGTGCTACATAATCGACTGTTAAACGTAGTGAAACAAAGGCTGTGTTGGAAATTATGGTTTTGTGTTATGATGTCATTAATTAATCCTTGAAAAAAATATGAGTGTGAGTGTCGAAGACGTTTCTAGTCCTCTATCTGAAGGGCAGAGCAGTGTTCTGGATGATGAAACGAAATCCGAAGCTGAGAATAAAAGCGAGGATGTTGAGGCAGGTCAGAAATCGGAGCCCACTACCCCTAAACCACATCCTATGGCGTTTACGATCGACTTTGGACAGGCGAAACAGTTCGATAATCGTAGACTGGAGGAGCTAGCTAAGAAATCACAGGCTAGACATCAAAGAGTGCAATCCATGTCCGCGGGTCAGTCTAGACAGAGTCCGATATCTCATAGACCACCTATGAGCGGTAAATTACCCAGAAAAGCCCAGGGTTACAATTCAGAAGGCTACTTCTCGTCAGATCAGGAAGACAGCGGCGTGTCGAGTTCCGTTAAACTCCGTAGTAGCCCACTAGCTGCAGATAGACCGAAAATAACAAGCCCGATAACAAACAGACTAATACGTTCGCCAGTAAACGAAAGTAAGCTTATGTCCAAAAGTCCTATAGTTGATAGCATAATGTCCAGAAGTGATAACTACACGCACACTCTCAATCTACCCTTGAAAAACGCCAATAGTTCCTACTTGAAAGACGTCCATAGATCGCCAAGTTACGGTAACATCAATTGTAATAAACTACCCATGGATATAATAGATGCTAGCCCCGAGGGTGCGATGTTAACTGACATATCTAGTCCCGAATTAGACATTCTAACTCCCGATAATGGGTTGTCAACCCCTGAACACTCAAAGAGTCCGCTACGAAAGAGTAGAGCCTCATCAGCAACCCCCGATTTATTATTCAGGAAATGCCCCCAGAAATCTGAACCGTTGTACATTGATGATGAAGTAGATGGAGAATCAAACCATTCATCAACAGGGACATACACTATCGAGTGTGATAATTATACCGAGGAGCAAAAAGCTAGAATGAGTATTGATAGAACTTTTGGTGTTGAACAACCGATTTCTGTGCCGGATACATTGACATGTACTTCAGTGGACCGAGATCCTGAAATAATATTTGACTTCCCAAATCCTAGAGTCATTACAAAAGAGCCAAGACGAGATGTATGTCTTCGGAATCCGGTTACAAGCAAAGCTGATAATGTACAAAATAAAATATCAAACGATCGGAACGTTCTAGAAATATCATGTTGTTACGAATCTCCCAATGATGATCTAGCTCTCCAAACCTCAAAACAAATCAAATCTACTAGAAGCTATTTGGAGAAGATAAAGAATAGAGTTAGGACAATAACGGAGAAGACCTTCTCCAAGTCGCCTCCGAAGTACGAAGAAGATGCTGATCTCGGTACATTCACATCGGTCACAACTTCTGGAGTACTCAGCTCTAAATATCCAATCAAAGTTGAAATGCCAAGTAGAAGGCGCTGTAGTCTAACAAAATCAGAAATCGATAGAACAGATTACATACACCGTTTATCAAGAGAATCATCGGTGCCTGTGAATTTACCGAGCAACAAGAACATTCTAGAAGACACGAAATTCGAGAGCACAGCACTGAAAAACGCCCAGAAAGCTCTTAAAGATGATGTCAATTTAACATCGGATCCACTCGTCGGAAAACTTTCCTATCTAAGTTTGAACCGATGTAAAGGTGACAAGACTTGGATTCAGGATTGGGCGGATAGTGTGAAGAAATATAACAATAATGTGCTTCCCGATGAAGCAGATCTCAATACCACCTTCTCCATAGAAGATCGTCCTCCAATAAGTCCTAGATTGATACCGACAAAACGTAAGCCATATTTCATTATCTTTACTACTTTCTTTTAAGATAAGATAAGAATGCCATAATATGGTCATTAAAAGAATAAATGCATATATACAAACACTAGCCATACCTTCAGTTTTGATCATAAATAATTACTTTTTGTATCATTTATATTAAATATATAATACTTCTGCATATTATATATGCCTTAATAGTTCTTTGCATCAGCTATCTGCCAGTGAAAGTTCTATCAATATATGTTCAGTCATTTCAGAGATATGCTGAAACAAACATATACATTCATATGCACTTAATATAATTTTTATTTAACAAACAGACAATTTTATTCATTTCTATTTATTATTTAAGAAATTTGAAACAAAAATACTGCATTCATTAAAACAATTTTCAGCTCATATTTGCTTAAAATTCCATTTAAAAAATATATCTTACATATTATTATATTATTTTGTATATGTTAAATGAGTATTCTATACAATTGTATAATTGTATGTTTGTTACAACAATACCCATGATGTCATAGTGATTTTAAAATGTAACATAAATCAACCTGTAGAAGGTTCTCATATAGTTCCAATATATAAGAAGTATAATATATATTGTGAGTTATTTTGAACAAAATAACTTTTTAAACTAAATTACTATTATCTTCTATCTTCTTCTTCTATCTTCTATCTTCTATCTTCTATCTTCTTCTTCTATATATATAAAAATGGATTGCTGTTCCTTAGTCTCGCTAAAACTCGAGAACAGCTGAACGGATTTGTCTTATCTTAGTCTTGAAATGTTTGTGGAGGTTCAGGGAAGGTATAAAAGGTGAGAAAAATTGGAATAATTGCCGGGAAAACCCTAAAACCAGCCCTTTTCTATTTCCCATACAAACGCTTTTTTTGACATTAGATTTGACAACTAACTAATATGTCAATCATTATGTTTGATTGAAACAGGAAAAACCTGATTATTTATGGCCTCTAAGACGGAATAGAGTTCGCCTGGTCAGCTATACATATATTACTAATGACGAAACTAACGCGGACGAAGTCGCGGGCAAAAACTAGTTATGAATAAAATTAGATCGTATTTGTGACGTTACTTAAACACTGTCAGTTCGAAAGTATTATATTTAATTCTTCATAGAAGCCAGTAGTAAGGTTTTTATTACGTTGCGTTAAATCGTTAAGCTTATTTTGGTTAAATTCGGGTTAAGGTCGAACAGTTAATGGAAATCCTACGATTGCTCCTGAAATTCAGATGAGGTTAAAATTACGTGTTTTCGGTTATTTTGTAATGATAAAACAAACATACAAGTATTGAACACATAAAATGATATATTTTTATCATATTTACTTAAACTACAGATCAGTTATTTCTTTATCCTAAGTAATGAACATACATATATCTTATTAAATATAAGTACCTAATATTTATTTTTTTATTTGTCTGTCTGTTTGTTCTGGCTAATCTCTAAAACGAATGAACCGATTTTGATTGGATCTGTAATGGCAGATAAATGATGTAATACAGTGTAATTTATTTTCTACATACACACCTATTTATATATATGTATACAGTCATAGTAACATTTAATCATCTGCACAGCCATTATATACATATAATTGTGATTTATGCTATCCTAATATATAAAAGCAAAATAGTACTTTAAAGAAAAATATTATTTATAAAGATTTTCATATGTAAGTTTGTCAATATGTTCAGAATTTATGTCCAAAACAATGTTCATTGAGGATATCTATAGTTATATATGATAATTTCACAGCCCGAAGCCCGCATGGCACACCGACAAAGATCCCGAGCCCGGTTGGGACTCTTCTACATCGTAGGACTCCGGTGAGTACATTGATTGATAAACATACACACATACTAGCATTGTCACCTTGACTTGCCTGCCTTTATATCATCATTAGTGATGTATTAGTTATACATGCTCGGTATTGTTATAATAATATGATGTCAAGTGTAATGTAGGTAGATCACTTTATTATATTAGTGGCTGTCATTCAGTGTTGAAACTTAGCACAATACATACATGACGAATTTAATATAGTTTTATTGAATACTACAATTATCTAATTAGTTACCTGTAATGTTTTAGGTTTTACATATTTAGGTATTATAAAGTTACCACATTATTCGTAAAAAATTTAAATAACGGTTAAAAATATTTCTCCGTAGACAGCAGGTATTATGTATATAGATAGTGGATTTGCCTATTTATAAAAAAAAATCAATTATGAAATTAATATATACCGTATGTATATCTGAGTATATTACATATATTTAAAAAATAAATATATTTTTAATATAAATAATATTTTTCTAGGGCAAGAAATGTGAAGAATTGAGAATATTTACAATGTTCATACCTTTGGATGGATAGTTAATTTAATTCTTTTATATAATTTAATGTAATTTTTATAGTAATAACTTATTAATTTATAAATATAATATATATTTTGTCTAAACATATATATATTTCTTTTCTTTTTAAATAAAACTTTAAAAAAAGGCATAAATATATTATTTTTTAAAGTTACAAAATAACAAAAAAAAAATACTCAATAATAATTTAAAATTTTAATTTTAAAATAGTTCAATGTGATACATAAGTATTAATATATACATAAATATATTAAAGAAGATATTTTTGTACCAAATTTTGCTAGACACAGCTATCAATGAATATTAATTCAAAATATGTACTTTAAAAGAATTTTCAGAATTACTTTTTATATTACGGAGTTTTTGCGTAACAAAACATACATACAAACAAATTTTTAGTTAAAAATATCAATTATAAAAATCCGTTAATATTACCACAAGTTTGAATCGACAAACTCAATACTCGGAGTTTTTAGTATCGTTAAACTTTTCAATGGAATACTGTTAAACTATCAGTATGCAGTTTAAAGGTGGCAATTCACTTGCAATTATTTTTTCGACCAAATAAGATCAAGTGTTGATGATTTATTTGACATATTTGCACAAATAACACAAATAAGGGGAAACGCGTTAAGACGTGTTGTGATGCCAAGTGTGGATGTCGTGTTTGCGCTATTTGGACTATATACAAATATTTGAACAAATACGGCGAATACGCAACGCATAGTCAAATGATTAGTAGTAATATGTAAGAGTGAACGTTTTCGCAGTGAAACTTTTATTTTTTCCACTCTAAATATTATTATAATGACGCTCTCGGATTTTTTTTTAGTTTTTTTTTTGTTTTCGTTAAATAACAAACTCATGGTTTGCGGTAATCTTTTCATTTCATGAATATTAGATATTTAATTATTATTACAATGAAAAGTTTATTATGTAGTACAAATATTGTCTTTATACCTGAATTGTTCAAATATTTCTGTTACTGTGGTAACATTCGGGATATAAAATTATGACTCATATGTTTAGTAAAAACATTGTAATATAGTATACATATGTACTGTTTTTATTATTAGACTATTTTTTACATACGACTTTGTACGCGTGGACTTCAGAATAAAGGTATATATAATATATACCTACTACCCACTAAAACTATATCTTTTTCTCAGAAATTATTTACGTTTATAAAAAAACCACATTAAAATCGGTCCAGCGGATCTTTAGTTAAAATGTAACATACGTTTACTTTCACAATTAAAAATTAACATGATTATTAACTAATATGTATGAGAAAGTGTGTGAGAGTTTGTGAATGTTTGTTGCCCTTTCACAAAAAAATTACTGAGCTGATATTGATGAAACTTTACTGTAATATAGATTAGATATAGGAATAAGACATAGGATATAATTTATACTTCATACAGGATCGAAACATAAGATTTGTTTAGTGTATGAAGTGAGATTGAAGTCAGTGGTCGCCTAGTGGTTAAAGGCCCGCCTCTCATGCATGAGGGCGCGGATTCGATCCTGGGAAGTACCAATGTGATTTTTCCGAATCATATGTACTTTCTAAGAATATTTAAACATCACTGATTAATGCATTCCCAAAGAGGGTTGATGTCAGGCAGGCGACCGGTCGTAAAAACAATTAGTCAAAACTATTCACAACATGTAAGGCAGACCCTGGCTATAGCTGGGAAATTGCCAGGTAGAAGAAGATATATGTATGTACATATACGTAATTACATACGATACAATATCTCATTAGTTTTTCCTTAATTACTAGTAATTTGTGTTGATGAAGAGAAACAGTGTGGTCATAATAATATAATTGTGTAGAGCTCTTTAATATAGATTTATTACGTTATTTAATCGTTAATAATAGTGTTTGTATGTTTGTTTGTATATCATAAACTGGGAATATTTTATTATGTAATACTGATTTATAATAATTAAATTGAACGAATATATTAGGTGGTAAATCGTGTATACAAATATATACAGGGTGACTGGTGAATTACTATCAATATTTAAGGAGAATACTCGGTACATGATTCTCATTCCAATTATGTAAAAAAAATAGGTACTTAATTTTTGACAAAATTTCCCTATAAATAAATAAAGTGTTGACATGTTCCAAGTGTTCAAGTGTGGACGCGTGCGGCGGCGTGCTGATACAACACCACGTCACGACACGCGTATGTGTGAGTGTCAGTGTATACCTAATCTGTAGGGTGTTCATACGATGCGTAATTAATTACACAACTTTTGGTTAACTTTACGAAGAAGTTTATCAATATTTATGTTATATTAATTTTTATTTTGTCATATATGATCGTCAAATATCACGTCCTCAAATATCGATAGTAATTCACCAGTCACCCTGTATAAAAGAAAGTCGTGTTAGTTACACTATTTATAACTCAAGAACGATTGTAGGGATGTAATTGGACATTGGTGATAGGACATAGGATAATTTTCATGGGATTGAAAAAAATATATAAGTTGATCAAATTCAAAATCTTCTTATCTACTGTCTTTAAAGAGGGATAGAGGTTACCGTTTCTATACGTTTCTAATATTGAAAGTTACGCAGACAAATTCGCAGGCAAAGACTAGTATATATATAAATTCAAAGTTAATTTAGTTCCCCTGTAAGTGTTCTATTTACTTTGGGAGTACAAATAAAATACATATATATAAATCTCGAGCAAACACAGGATATTATCTTGTTAAAAAACTTAGCTAATCTAATGTAATGAGGTTGTATATATTAAAATTCTGAACGTGTTACACACCTGTCAAACTTTCGCGCTCATAACAATGGCGGCGCGAATTAATTATTTATATTTTGGATTACTATTACGAATATAATGATTTTATATTTAAACATATATATATATATATACTAGCTGACCCGGCAAACGTTTTGCCATATAAAAAATAGGGGTTGGTGATAAAAAAGTAAATAATTTGGGTTATATGCATTTTTAATGCTACATTATTAAAAAAATAAGGGCGAACAACCCTTATCACTTAGGGATATGAAAAGTAAATGCTGGTCGATTCTAAGACCTACTCAATATGCTCCCAAAATTTCATGAGAATCGGTCAAGCCGTTTCGGAGGAGTCTCCATTAGTTTCAGAATCAGAAATTTATAGCTGACCAGGCGAACTCTATTCCTCCTTAAAGACAGTAAATAAGAAGATTTTGGATTTGATCAAATAATGTTTTTTTCAATCGAATGATAAGTATCCTATGTCCTTTCTATGTTCTAATCTATCTCTCTACCAATTTTCATTCAAACCCGTACAGTCGTTCTTGAGTTAAATAATCAGGTATTGGTATTTATTAAATTTTTCCTGTTTCAATCGAACAGAATGATTGACATATTAGTTAGTTGTCAAATCTAATGTCAAAAAAACGTTTGTATGGGAAATAGAAAAGGACTGTTTTGAGGGTTTTCCCGGAAATGATTAATTTTTTTTCATCTTTTATACCTTCCCTGAACCTCCACGAACATTTCAAGACTAAGACAAGATAAATCCGTTCAGTCATTCTCGAGTTTTAGCGAGACTAACGAATAGCAATCCATTTTTATATACAGGGTGACTGGTGAGTTACTATCAATATTTAAGGAGCATACTCGGTACATGATTCTCATTCGAATTATGTAAAAAAAATAGGTACTTAATTTTTGACCAAATTTCCGTATAAATAAATAAAGTTTGGATACGTACTCATCCTTGCCGGCGCCAGTGTGTCGCTACTCCCCAACCCCCGCCCCGTGGCTAGCGGGCCATTAGTCGGCTATTAGTCGAGCTAGCGCCGCCGTAAGGTCCGTACGTTCGTCTTCCCGCGCGCGCGCGCCTAGCGATCGATCTTACGCGTATACCTAATAATAATCTGTCGTGTGTGCGTGTGACCCGTTATTACTTATTAGTAATTAAATATGGCTTTTCAATACACAAATGCAGAATACTTGGACATGGTTTATGCGTATGCGCGTGCAAATGAAAGCTTGCGGGGCGCAATCAATTTGTACCGGGAGATGTTCCCCAATCGTCGAGTACCTACGGCCAGCGTCATCTTAAACGCTAATCAAAGATTACGAGACTTCGGACAGTTCCGTGTTCCAACACATGCCCAAGGAAACGTCTTGTGTATGCTACAGAGTATGTAAACAGAGAGGAGTTGAAATTAAAAATCAATAGTGCTTTCGAAACTATTAAAAGTGACCCATTCGTATTAAATCGTGTGAAAGACAATATGTGTAAACGTGCCGAACTGTGTATCACACGAGAAGGAGCTCGCTTTGAACATTTGTTAAGGTTAATGTAGTTATGTAGGTAAATAGGTAGTTTAATGATTGACAATTGTTGTAAATAAGAATGATTCCATTTTTAAATACGCCGGAAATACCAAGATAGGTAAACAGTTCATA